TAAACCCATGGGATAGTATAAGATAGGAAATACAATTTTAAATGAATACATTAATAAACCAATGTAGTCTGCAATCTTATATTTATTTACCCAGAGTAAACCCCACTGAACGTGTGTCTGAGTAAATGTGGATAGAAGTGTGCTATTACAAGACTAAATTGGCCTTCCATAACATGATGCTCCACGTATATTTTGAATTTCAACTCCTATCATTTCCAGCTGCTATAGAAGTAATTACAAGAGTTTAAGTACAACACAAATGGAAAACAACATGTTGGGAATTTTGGATTGAACCACACAAAGCCCTTATTCAAGAGGAAATCTGAGACATACACCCAGCAGGATCAGGCAGAGGAGACAGGTAAACACTTCAGATTGTATCATGAGTGGTAGAGAAGTTGATAGCAAAAATGTAGGTCTGAAGGAACAGCAAAACTTTTAGAAGCTTGCAGTCAAATACAGAAGAGGCCTTTTGAGTTCTCAATTTCAATTTTAAAATATCTTGGATTGCTCTTGTCAAGTAGACCTCAACAGTTGTATTACAAGTGGTTGTTGAAGAAGAATCTAACTCCATCCGAAGTCATTATTTCTATATTTGGTCCATATAGTAAATCTGTATTTCCACTGTGAGATAGAATTCTGGTTAAATTGTAACTGATCCAAAAACCACGAATATAAAGCATGATTTAATGGTGACATTTTAGAGAAATTTTCAATAAAACTAATTTCCCTCTACAAGCACAATGCAAAACTTATGGAGGCTTGTATTATTTGAATCATGGAATAAATCAACAGCCATGTAAAATACTGTATGGCATTTTTTAAAATGTACTGTATTGCAAAACTATATACTTTAAGGTTTACTTTGCCCTAAACTCCATACTTGCAGTCCGTCAACTCGATAGACCTGCTGCAAAAATAAGAAAATATTGATAGCATGCACTCCTAACTGGACAGTGATTCTCTCTTAAAAATATAAAATAGGCAAAGCAATTCTCATTGCATTCATTTTATTTGCAAATTTGGAGGTTTTACTCACACAATTACATTCTATCCTGAGTGCATTATTCAAAAATTTAAACATCTTCCAGATGACATTCGTGAATTCTATCTATTCTATCTATTTTCAAAAATAAAGATGGTTTTAACCTGGAATGGGATTCTCTCTGTTTTACAAAACCAAAGACTCTGATGATGTTATATTTACATGTAGAAAAGATTAGCAGCACATTCCTCTGAACTGTCTTGAAAAGTATTAGATTTATTGTGTCCAGTGAAACCTGCTCCATGTAGAAAGTTTAGCCACTTAGCTATTTAGCCAAAGAGCCAACTGAAAAAAGCGATAATACCTTGTTATGGAAAAACATCAATATTATTGCTGTTTTAAAAATAGAGAGTTTTAGCAGTGAAAGTGAAAGCTGCAAGATTCTAAAGAAAAAGAAAAATATGAACCCTAGGAATGGGCTTTCAGATCAATGAGCAATCTAGACTACCAGCTGGCAGTTGCTTAGGAATTCAAGCTAGAGTTTTCCTTTGCTCTATGGAGTTACCAATGCATCTTCTTCATGAAAATTATATACTACATCTGAACTAAAATTCAGTTGTGAATAAGTGTATTCTCACTTAAAAATATTCTTAGCATCTAATAATTACTAGGATTAAAAATCATAAAACAAAATTATTTAAAAATAAAGGGTTGCCAGATCTGGGCTGTAAAACTCCAGATGGCCACTGGAGACCAACAAAGGAACATAGAAAACTTCAACTTTCTACTGCTGTCTAGTTGTTGCCCTGATTTCTGCAGCCTGGATCTGATGGTACTAAAATATGTTGAAAATAAAAAAGTTGCAACTTCTGATTTCTAATGACAAAAGTAGATTTAATTTAATGTGTCCTTGTGGTAGTTATGTTTGATGCTACCTTCTATCACACAATCAAAATGACAGTGGAAATTCGCATTTCCCCATCAGAAAGATAGCCATGGTTCGTTTCAGCCTCAGCCAATGAATAAACCACATTTTGATGGATTTTAGCCAGTACACTAAACTATAAACTACTGCTTACAAGCCACACGATCTAGTTTCAAACATAGTAATTTACATGAAGCTGGTAAGTATGTTGAAAGCTGAGAAAAGGAGATATCCTAGTGAGAAAACAGGGTCTGGAGAAAAAGTAGTCTTTTGGGTTTACATAATAAATGAATCACATTTTTACTATTCTACTTATCTAATCTTTGAACCACTGGAATGTCTCTCCAAGAATTACATGAAAAGAATCACAAATTTGTTTCTGTTTTTCTAGGACAATCTAGAAAATATTTAGTCTCTTGCTTTATGAAGTCTTCCTAAAAAATATTCTGAATTAGCAATATGCATGCACCTGTGTGAGCAAGGGTGGTTTATTGTGCCTCTATAAGAAGCATTCTAAAAGCTTTTCTATGGAAGCAAATATACTGAAATCCCACTAACTCCAAATATGAATTCACTGTTGCTTCAAATCCATAACCTTTCCTGCTGGAAAGTAAGCATTCTTGTCTTCCAGAAGAAGCCCTACATTCTGGCAAAGTGATGGGGATTGGCATAAATCTGCTTGAAATTCTAAATAGCTGCTTTTAGTCAAGATTGACAAATTGGACTACATAGATCAAAGGTCTCTCTTTCTATGCCCACAGCGCTGCATGTTCTATGATCTCATTGCTTCTAGGTTCATGCTGACATTTGTATGTACTACAGAACTCCGTGAACATCAACTTGGAACACAAACTAATGGATGTTCCTTGGAACTCTTTGAGAACACTTGCAAGCTCTAAAACAAGCCCCGTTCACCATGGTACCTGACAGCATTGCTGATTCCCCTAGAAAGCGCTTCTGGGTTGGATGGAAGAATCAGATTTGAACTGAGGGCATTGAGGGAAGGATTCTGAGATCATTTCTAGATTTGCCTAATTGTTGTTTTTCTACAGGACATAATCCTTGGTAAGTGAGGTTCAGATGTTCACTATTTTCCTTTGGGGTTTCATTAAAGTGTGCTTAAAAAATTTAAATGTGCTTAATAAAATAAACTCGTGTGTGATAGATTGTTGTTAGAACTTGGAGATCATAACCTGTACTCCTGTGTTAACCCACACGTTTTAAAATGGAGTTCTATAGGTGTATTACAGATTAAGGATTTGCTGATTGCTTTCAGGCCCTGCACTGCAATTTTGTGACATTTATTTAGCATATATAATCAGAGAGCACCATTAAAAAAAACCCACTCATATACAAGTGAACCTAGTTTACAGCCACATTTTTTGTGACAGAACAGTTGTTTCTAATCACTCTAAATGTAGCATAGATCTGGATTTGGATGGAATATCTGATGAAACTTTTATAGTGTTATTTCTAGTGTTTTAATATCTCATGTTGGCCACATATGGCATATTGTCAAACTCATGGACTATTAAAGAATAAATGGCTACAGACTTTTAGCCAGCAAAGGAAGTGCAGCTGGCAGCCTGGGACCTCTGTGCGCACATGGACAGCCTTGCAGAGAACCACAAACTGGTTCTACCCAGTTTAGAAAATTAAAAAGATTAAGGCAGGAGAAAGCCTTACTTTTTTCTGGACCAAATTTATAATTGCTATCTTGGCTCTCTCCTCCAAACTTCTACAAGTTGTAGAAGAATCCAGTCAGTGATGCAGAAGTGCCTTTGATCTTTTCCAAAGGAAACCTCAGAGCAGGATTCCTGCTGAAGCTTCTTCTTATTATTATTCTTTATTCCAATTGAAGATGGGGGCTTGAATGAACGCTTCTGCCTGAAGTACCCAGTTATTTGTCTGCCCTCGTCACTTCCTAATAAGATTCTATCAATACAATCCCATATTGCTCTGCTTTTTTTTCTCTTCTCCAAACTGAGCCCAAAGAGATTGGTTAGGCCACTCGCCTCTTTTTCTATGCTGCGCTCTTTTGGATGTTTATTTGCCCCAGATCTTCTTCTCTGGTTAAGGCAGAGATCCCAACTACAGCCTGACCTCACCCTTGCTGATTCCCCATAAAGCCCTGGGGTTCTTCCCCACAGTGCCCCCAAAGAGCCCAAAGGGTCTGGTCTGCTTTGCCCAATAGGGCAAAGATTGACTTTTGAGCAAAGTTTCCTAGAATTGTTTCTCCACCCCACCTGGTTGTCGACATCCACTCACCCGCGCACCCCGCTTCTTTTGGAAGAAAACCCCCAAGGTGATGCTGGGGGAAGGGGCTTCACACGCTTGGGGAAACAAACAGGCTCAGGAATCAAGTCAAGACCTTCCCAAATCGGTAGCGGGACAAGACAGACCATCCCTCTTCCCCCGCCCTGCTCAGATGCCTGCCCCCGACAGCCAGGCTGCCTCCAGGTTCCCGACATCCAGGGAGGGGGTAGCCTTCGCTCCCTTTCAGAGTTCCGACTTACTCGGCCTTTTCCCCGAAGTAAAATCTTCGCTTGTTACTTTCTTGCGGTTAATCCGAGAAGAGGAAGAATTAGGCGAGATGAGCAGATGTTTCTTTTAATGCATAGGGTGGCTTTTATTGTAGTTTAAATTCGGGCGGGTTCCCAGGGGGAGGGGGTGCTTGGCTTTCTTTCCCTTCTCAATTTCAGTC